AATGAGGCTAAGCTAGGCCAAGCATTCATAATTAATAAATTTCCATGTCATGATTTGGGAGCTGGTTGGTGGCCAAAAAAGTAAAGCCTGTTACAAAATGGTGACTTGGTGGTTAAAAGCACTGGCTGCTCTTCCAGAGTACCAGTGTAACAGATCACAACTGTCCAAAACTCCAGGGCTTCCAAGGCTTCCAATGGTCTCTTCTTGCTCATGGGTAAGAATCATACTAATTATATGAAGATAATATAGTTAAATTTTTAAACAATTTTTATTTTATTTATTTGTTGTTTGTTTTGCTTTGTTTTCAAGACAGAGTTTCTCTATTTAGCCTTGGTTACCTTGGAACTAGCTCTTTAGACCAGACTGGTCTCAAACTCACAGAGATCCATTTGCCTGTCTCCCAAGTGTTGGGATTAAAGGCATGTGTCACCACCACCCAACTATTTCATTTTATTATTTTTATTTCCAGGACAGGATTTCTCTATGTAATAGCCATTGCTGTCCTGGAACTCACTATGCAGACCAGACTGGCCTCAAAATCAGAGATCTACCTGCCTCTGCCTCCTGAGTGTTGGAATTAAAGGAGTGTGCTACCACGCCGAGCAAAAATAAATAAATAAAAAATTTTAAAAGAATACAGCAAGGAGTATGTGTTCACAGATTAAAGTTTCTCCATTATCTTCTTTTCATTTGTATTTTAACATAAAATATCATAACAACATTGAACACAATTTGATAAGAAATTGTTATTCTTACAAATTAGAATCATGTCACTACCAGTGAGAGCAAATAATTATATCTCATTGTATGTCTGTCACCTGCCTTAATGAGAATAAGATGAAGAACAGTTGAGCAAATGTGCCCCCGGGATTTATCCAGAACAATATATTCAATTTACTTCACATAATGGCTACAAACCCGGTATCCTAGGATCTTTAGGTTAAACTAGCAAAGATAAGTCTGAATCTAACTTGTAAAACATGGGCCTCAGCAGAGATTTAAGCTACTACATGCATTTAGTTTTTTAAGAATTTCTAATCTGTTGATAGTCTTTCAGTCATCAGAAAAATTCTGTAGAAACAGAACTCTCAACAGATTCATGATAAACTGGAGTTCTTTTCCACCGAGTATGTACAATTAATTGCAAAAGGTGAAATATTTTTAGTAATTCAAAGAATTAATTTCATAATTATCCATTCATCTTCACAGTTTTCTGCCTGATAAATTTATTCTAAACTCTTCCCTAGATTCCTAATTAAATAATTAATTGGTAAGTAAAAGTTCACATAGTAATGCTGCTGTAATGTATTTGCTGGATAAGTATATACTGAGTTAGTACATATCAATTCTCATCATCTGAGAAACATACATCCTTTCCTCAAGCTGTTTTCTAACAGATATGTGACTTTCTGTCAAACAGCAGAGAATTGTTATTCAAACAGACATAAGAAAAAAGAAACTAAGAAATCCAGGTAGGACCACTCTGCATGTGAAGTGATGGGATTCCAGCCTATTCTTGTGACTCTGTAGTTTTGTGGCAATAAAATGACTGTTGTGCACCTAGGTGCAATTATGTCAGGACAGAGGAGAGAACCACACTCCTTATGGATGAATAAGCCTTTATTGAAGTCCTTTCTCATGTTTTACTGTCCCAAACTGGATTGTGTTTTCAAACCCAACCCATTCGTTGTCAGTGACCATGGCACTACAACATGGTAACTCTGACCAGTCAAGATAATTGCTGCCTCCCTTGCATCAAATTGAGTCAGAAGTGCAAGGGTGAATCTCTAAAGAAAATTTGTACTGCATATTGATGGTGTGGCAGAGAATAGTTACTGAATAGGAAACCAACAGCACTGCTGTAAATGTGAAGATACCATCTAAACGTATTTCCTAAAGATAGTATATAAGGCCTGTGCACTGGCACTAAAATGAATTCGTTTTATCTGAAAAAAATTCTTCAGGAATTATGCTTTACCTGTAGCCTAACTTTATAAAAATGTCAGAAACTTTATAAACAGTATTCATTAGGATCTTTATAAAAATATGAGATTAAGGATAAAATAAGTTGAATTAGGAATAATGTGTATCAAACAGCATTCATTCATTTGCCCAAGATATTTTTAAGACTACTAAAGTCTATCAAGTACCCAGGACATAGTGATGAACCAAATTAACCACATTGCTGTCCTCATGCTTTTAGTTTGGAGGTGGACAGAGACATTTGTAAAAATAAATATTAAATGTGGACTGATGATGCAGAGAAAGCTTCTGAGATAAGAAACATCAGACTGATGGTGGAAGCACTCCATCAGAGAAAACAACACACGAAAAGGCTCCAGGGCAGACTGAACAAGATGCATTTTGGGAGTAGGAAGGTTAGTGTATAAGTTGGTCAGGCTGCATGACTATGACATAAGACTGACATAAGTAATATAATGAGAGAAAGGGTTGTTTTAGTTCACAGTCTGTTGTTATTTCTGGCTCCACAGTCAGGCAGAACAACGTGGTACTGGGAACATGTGGCAGGGGAAATATTGAACAGGTATTAGATAGTATAAAGCTTAGAAGATATTTGTAGGATGAATGTTATCAATGTGGGGGTTGTCAGATGTGTATTTTCCTAATATAAATGGAAAACTGAAGGAAGTAAATACAGAAAGGGACTAGATACAACCCCAAGCACATGTTCCTAGTAATACGTTTCTTCCAACCAAGCTCCACCTCTCATTAACCATTTTGGGAGTCTATAAGGGAATAATAAGTTTATTAGAGCAAAGCCTCAAAAACCCATCAGCTGGCAAACAAGTCCTCATGTGTGATATCTTGTATTTTGACTAGCAGTGTATGAAGAGGAAGTGTGACTTTACAGGGAGCTTGCGGTCTTTTTCTTCCTTGCTATCTAAAAGGCTTGAAGAGTCATTTAAAGGATCTGAGTCAGGAAAGTAATGGAGGGTAACCAGGTTTATGATTTTGAATAGATGACTTTAATGTTTGGTAGAGAAAGAATTGAGTGCATCAAAGTGGATGCAGGCAATTATCAGGTAATTATTGTAAGGATCCTAGCAACACCATAAGGGTGTTCAAGTTAACATGGGGAATCTATATGGACTTTTACGATCTTTAGAAAATGAGAAATGACAAGCCTTGTGATGGCATGGATATATGGCATGAGGAACAACAAGATGTCATAGATTGAGAGGATAGCTTTTAGGCTTCTAGCTTGTACCTCTGGATAGACAGTTCCCTTTCTCTAGAGCAAGTAATTCTAGAGTACTAGTCTCAAAGGAAGAATAATATTCAGTATTGGATATGTTGACCCTGGAGCCTATTTCACACAGGCACCAATATTGAGTTGATATTACACAGCCTAGAGCTTAAAAGACAGTCTGAGGATGGGTATATTTTTGGGAGTTGCCAGCATACAAATGGAAGATGAAATTTTAGGGCTCTGTCTTAAGAATGCCTTAGGAGAAAAAGTACAGCCAGAAAAAAAAGAGGCCTGGGGCTTATCTTGAAAAACTGTTGGGAAGACAAGATTCACAAGCCTACAGAAAGAAGCAGAAGAAATAGTGTTTTGGAAGAGAAAGCAATCAAATGCTGTTTCTAATTTGAATAAGTAGTTAGAAACATCCTTATCCTCAATGATAATCTTTCTTTTTCTTTTCTTCTTTTTCAAGACAGGGTTTCTTTATGTCAGCTAGGCTGTTCTGGTACTCACTTGGTAGACCAGCTGGCCTCAAACTCACAGAGATCCACCTGCCTGTGCCTCCTGAGCTCTGGGATGAAAGGTGTGTTCCACCACCACCTGAGCCAGCCCCATTGGTAATCTTTGACAAAGCTTTATTTGGTAAAGTGAAAGTTAGAAAGAATGGCTTGAGAGTGAGTGAGAGAAAAGGAAAGGATAAGAGAGGCCATGGCAGCTCCCTGCAACACTCCTGTGAAGGGGGAGGAATAGCTCCAGGGACATGTAGAACATAGGAGCATTTGAATTAGCAGACAGTGAAGACATCAATCATGAACAACACTAATGAGAAAAGAACAGTTGCAAATACTTGAGAGAGAACTGGTGGATAATTTCTATTGCTTCAAATGCCAAGAACAAATGCTATTGAAAGCATACTTACATTGCATGAGAGTGACTCTTCAATTATATATATTATAATTGAGAGAGAAAGATGGTGGCTAAGGAGATATGCTTGATGGCTAAGGAGGTAAGGCTTCAGTCTTTTCTCTGTGTAGTTCATACAACCCATGGAAGAGAATGGAGAAAGGGAAGCTTGGTGGAGATAATAGATGGCTCACTGTGTAAAGTGAGAGAGATACCAACAAAGAAATGAAACTGCAGTAATCGAGCAGTGCTTGTGGACCAAAGAGGATGTCAAGGACTGTAATCATGCTGCTATGTTTTGTGAGTTTCTTCAGTGGCATGAGGCTTCTTAATGTGCATATGACAAAGATAGCAAAATCCACTCAGAGCCAGACTTTTGTGACAAAAGTGAACAAGGAAGTGACTTCAGTGAGGACAGGTGGTGAGCTTGAATAAGATTCTAGAAAAAATGTAACAGATAAAAAAGTAGCATCTTCCCATTGCAGAATAAGTAACTGGTGAGCATACTAGGAATCAAGAATAATGTGAATATCCCTTGGAGCTCCAATGCTCAGGTGTCTATCAAATAGTAGCTAAGCAGTCTGCTGTCTGCTACGTGCCTTGCCTCCCTTGTTCCCTTCTTCCTCCCTTTTCTTCCCCAGCCTGCCTTCCTACTTCCCTCCTTTCATTTCTCCCATTCTTTCTCCTTCCTTTCTTCATTGATTTTTAATACTTCTCTATACCTTTAAGAATTAAAAATTTCAATTCCTTTTCCACTTCATTTTAGAAGTACTTTAGAAATCAACAAATTTTATTTTGCAATATAATTGTAATAACTCTATAGAAATCATTTAAATGTATATTCAGTTTAACCAGAGATTAATATAATAAATTATTTTATCCTGTATAGGTTTTAGATGTCTGCACAATGAAAATGAATCTAGATTCACCTGCCAGATATATTTATGATATGAGTGGTAGAAAAGTTGAAGATATTTCAAAAGGTAAGTGGTAAACATTTTGTAACTCCTGTGATATAATTTTGAAAGAAATTTATATAATTTTCTCTGTAAGCATTTTATAGAAAAGAAAAGGCAAGAATTTAATTATAGCACAAATAAACATGATATTCTTACAGAAAGGGGCACTGTGTATATTTACAGTGTAAAAACACCTTTCAAGAGATGCCAGGACTGTAAGAATAATTTTTTTTGCCACAAGTTTGAGTTATTTTTAAAGCTATTTTAAATTTAGTGAAGCATAAGTAAATAAGCAATCATTGGCATATCTAGTATCCAACGTCTAAGATAATTATTGGGCCTCAGGGTGTGGCTCAGTGGTGACGTGCTTGCCAGGTATGTGCAAGACTGTGTGTGGGTTCAATTCCCAGAGGAAGGGGGCCGTGAGGAATGGAGGAAGAGAGAAAGGGGGAAGGACAATCTCTAGAGGTTATTTATTTTCTTTCTGTGTGTGGTGTAACAAAATTGCTTCTATACACCACTCAGGGCAGACTGAGGCAGGAGGGGCACAAGTTTGACCCCTAGTCAGGACATGGTCTCAAAAGATGAGATTTACTGACCCTAATAGTGAGGTAGTGACTGAGACTGCTGTCTTCTGGCTGCCTGAGGCTTTCAAATGCATGTTCATGCTTCATGGGCCCCAGAAGTGTGCTATTATCACACTTTAATGCATGCCTCACTCTGTGTTTTTGCATACTTATACAAGCTTATGCCAGCTGAAATTAGCTTATGCAACTACTGACATTGGATTTAAAATACTTAAAGAGACTAATCCAGTTGGAGGAACTTCCAGCCTGTAGCTCTCCTCATCACTTAATATTAGGTTCCAAAATTTGTTTTTCTTTGTTAACTATGAGGCTGTGCATTGACTGATTGGAGCCCATCATTTTCCTATTGATTATCTTCCAAACCTTGACTTAGGAATGGTCAAATATTATGTAAATGATAATTTCTAGTTTAAATAAATAAATACTAATACTCTTGATTTTCTATGGCTTTTTTGTTGTTGCTGACTTTATATAACCTCAGAAAGTAACTACTAAGGTCTAATGTTAGGTTCATAGCAAGTCTCTCTCAAAAGATTAGTAGGGAACATATGAGCAAGGGAGGTCAAGAGAGACAGCTGAACTGAGCTCATGGAAACTTTTGAACTCTAGACCTACAACTGTAGAGACTCCAGAGGACCAAACTAGGCCCTCAGTATGTGGAAGACAGTTTTGAAGCTTGGACTACCAGAGGGGACCTTGGCAGTAGGACCATGATACAAACCTGGTACATGAACTAGCTTGTTGGAGGCCATTCCCTATGGTGGGATGCCATGCTCAGTCTTAATGCATGGGAGAGGGGCCGGGCCCTGCTCCAACCTATTGTACAAGACTATGCTGTTTTCTCATGGGAGTCCTCACCTGTGAGGAGGAGTGGACTGGAGGTGGACTGGGGGTGGTGGTGAGGGAGAATGGGAGGAGGGATGGGAGGGAGAACTATGCTTGGAATGTAAAATGAAATCAAAAACTAAAAATGAACAAAACAGATTAGCAGTGCGGTTGTACCAGTGGTTACCAGTGCCTTCCTCTTCTACTATAGAAGTATGTATACTTTCAAACATTCCTCCCGTGTTATGAGAAATGAACACATTTGTCATGACATATAAGTACTTTTACATTGTCACAGGTAGTGAAACTTATAAAATCTCACATGATTTACAAATTGCTTTTGTGGTTAGGTTTCTAAACCACAAGGGATTTTACTAAAAAATTTACATAATACGGGATCCCAGCAAAGAAAGGGAATGTGAAAATGAGGTCCCGCCCCTAACTGATAACTAATGATACCTGTTGTCAAGGGGATTATTAAATTTTCTCCAGTGGAATGTCACTGGGTAGGTATAGCACTCCATGGCAAGTCCCATGCCAAGGAGTAATTGGTCCACACAAAATGAACTCCATAGTTTTTTTTTTTTTTAATATTGATTGCTTTGATATGTTTTGTTTGTTTGCTTTGTGTGTGCTGGGGGGGGGCTTGTTTCATTTTGAAACTTTTTGTCCTTTTTTGGTTTGTTTGTTTTGATATTTGTTGAGAGAGAGAGAGAGAGAGAGAGAGAGAGAGAGAGAGAGAGAGAGAGAGAGAGAGAGCACATATGAAGGTTGGTAGTTTAGGGAGCTAGGAGGATCTGGCATCTGGGAGGAGTTGAGGGAGAGCAAAACATGATTGCAATATATTGTATGAAAGAAATTTGAAATAAAAAAGGAAATCACATACCAACAGCAATTCTTTAGTTGTGGTTTCTGTACAGATCTGTCTTTTCAACAGTAGACGAGAATTATTTATTTCATATAGATACCATGTTTCTGCCGGTAATCAATATGCTATTACATAACATGCTGATGTCTGTCAGGATAACAGGGCTGGCAACAATAACAACAACAAATCAAGAAGAGTAGATTTTCTAAATTTATGTACCTTTAAAACCAGGATGTTAACTGAATAAATAGTTATTAACTTAGGTAATAATATGACAATCCTGACCAGGCATCATAGAGTATGCTGTAGACAGAGAATGTTAGATGCACAGATAATGGACTAGGAGACAGTGCAAACAGAAGTGAAGGCTCAGGAGGAAGCCAAACTCCAACATTAAAGAGCACAAGGCTAGTGTATGGCTTCATGAGGGCTCTTTGCTTAGGGAAAAGTGCATTCACCAGCCAATCCTGTGTATCATTTGAATCACCCCCCAGTTTATTAATCAATTTTGAGCTATTTGATGTCATAAATGCATTTAAAAGTACTAGCTGTCCCTTTAAACAATTTATAATTAATTAATTAGTATGTGTGTCTATGTGCTTGTGAACATGTGGAGATCAGAGGATAACTTGTAGTACACTGATTCTTTCTGACATATGGGCCCGAGACATTGAACTTGGGATGTTAGACTAAGTAGCAAGTCCTTTTACCCATCTTGGTCTTGTTGGCCTCTCTCTCTCTCTCTCTCTCTCTCTCTCTCTCTCTCTCTCTCACACACACACACACAAAAAAAAGTCTGTGTGCCATGTGAATGACTGGTATTCAAGGAGAACAGAAACAGGAAAAAAAGTCTGTGTGCCATGTGAATGACTGGTATTCAAGGAGAACAGAAGAGGGCATCAGAGCCCCTGTACTGAAGGTACAGATGGTTTTAAGGGGCTTTGTAGGTGCTGGGGATCAAACCCAAGTCCTCTGTAAGAGTGACTGATGCTCTTAACTGCCAAGTCTTGTCTCCATCCCCCTAATGTCCCTTCGTTGGTGTTATTTAATAACACCAATGTTATTATTTAATGTTATTATTTAATGTTGGTTAATTGTCTCCATTTTTTATATCTTAACTACTCTGGCAAATTATTACATTTCGATGAACCAGAAAAGCCAATCTCCCCATCATAGCAAGACCACCAGTCCCTTAGGACCTTTATGGGGGGTGTCTTTTTAAACAACTCTGCTTTCCTGAGGACCATTCTAGACCTTGGTGGGTAGTGTAGACCTTACCCTAGTGGTTCTGAAATGAGTCAGAAGAGTGTATCAACTAAGCAAATCTAAGATCATTTTATGGCAAACAGGATGCCCACTGCCTATTTTACTTTCTATCCCACATTCAGTGACAATATCCAAAAGAGCTATGCTGTGACTACTTTATTTATTTGTGTGTGCATTTATTTATGCACATGGTTATGTATATGTGTAAGTTCATATATGTGTGTGATCAGCTTTAAGTGTCTTCCTCAGTTGCCATCTACAATTGGTTTTAAAGCAGTATCTCTCATTTCACCGGGAACTCAATAATCTAGACTGTAGCCAGCAAGCCCCAAGGCCCATCTGTTCTACCTTTCTAGTAGTAGGATTACAAGCACACCATACAACTTGCCCAGAATTTTACATAGGGAGCACAAACACCAACTTTTTGTAGAAAGACCAGAACTTAAAGATAAAATTTGCAAAAGAACCTGAACTAGTCAAGACAGAAGTGGATTCCAGGATCAAGTTATCATTGTGAATGGAATTCAATAGAATGTCCAACTCCTGAAGTTAAGGCACAAAGAATGTGAAGTTCTTCATTTTCAGTTGCTGCAATATCATCAAGATGTTCTCTTGATGCTAGATTTCTGCTGCAATTCCTCCAGGAGTCAGTTTCAGGATTCCTGGAATGGGTGCCATCATTTAGGCTCTGAGAAAGTTGATTTAGGTCTACACCAACCTTTTCAGGCCCTTAGTATCTTACCAAACAAAATAATTAGAACATCAATATCACACCCATCACATTCAGAACAGAACCTAGTTCAAGAACCTGGACATTTCATCCAAGATTATATTTCTAGGCCCCACCAATTAGCACAATTCAAACCCCAAGAGCATTGTAAATTCTAAATGGAAGAGTGCAGAGGTGAGAAAATATTCTTTCTGTCTTTCTTGCCAAGATGACAGTCAGTCTCCAGAGCTGGTCAGTCTGTGGCCTGAGATGTACCTTGGGAAGCTTTTCTTGTTAAGACATGATTTATGACTTGATTAATATACAGCATCTCCAGGACAAAATTGACTAATGTACACTGGCTCCCATCTCATACTATGGCTGGACAGAGTATGGTGAAGTGCCTTCATTTTGAGTTGAAAATCCAGTTTATACCAGTAAACTGTTTATATCAGCATACTAAGTATATAAAAGTATATCAAGTATAAAAAAACAGTTTATATCAGATGGTTAATTAGCTTCTTTGAGATCAGTTTCCTTATTTGTAAAACAGGGGCTACAGTAAATACTTTCATAGGTTGTTTTGGGGATTAAATAAATTATACATAAACTCCTTAAAGAAGCATTGTATAAGACTAGTTTTTAATCACCATTACTATCAAAATCATTATTCTCAAAGGGGACTGACTGCTGTGTGTTTGCAACATTTGGAAGTTTGCCTGGGTGGTCACCCCAGTGTGGTTGAGGCTCTGTTCTCTTTTGTGAGGTA